TGACAGTACAGGATATTTATTAAGGAATCTTCTTGCGATAAATTCCTGGAGAAGGAAGAAAGTGGGATTGAACAGAGCAAGATAATAAACTGTAGTACATACTGCTCAACAGCTTCAGCTGCCTAAAGCCAAATGGCTCATCAGAGTCACTTTCCTTAGGCTGAAAGAGAGGGGCCTTTATATTCTTGTTTAATCAGTCATCACATACTGGTTGCTCCAGGCAGAGGTGGTTCTCTGGTTACTTCAAAAGGGTAGACCATTAAATAGCATTTACTAATGTCATTTGCTTGATGTCTTGCAAGCCCATCCTTATAAAGAGAAGCATAGCACACCATCTATCACTGAACAATTAGGTAACTTGATTTATTAGCATCATCCTACCTAATAAAAGAGTAATATGCAAAGTAACCATTGCTCTGCTCAAAGCCACACCCACCAACCATGCCCACCAGCCAATCAGAGTGAGTATGCAAATTAACACCAAACAAAATGGCGGTAGCCACAGAGAGCAGTTGAGAGGCTTGGGTTTCCCAGGCAATAGAGGAAGCCAAGCTTTACACAACCTGGCCAGCCTAGGCCTCTTCTCAAGGAGACAAAGTTTTGATTATAGAAGATAAATCCTAAGAAAAATGGTTGCAGCCACGGAACTGGAGAGTGTGGGCTAGGGTTGCTCCCAGCAAAGGAGGAAGCCAATCTTTCCACCTGCCCTGCAAGCCTAGGCCTCCACTCAATGATACAAAGTTTCAATTATAGAAGGTAAACAAATCCAAACAGAAATGGCTGCAGCCATGGAGCAAGCAGGAGGCTTGGCTCTGCTCCAGGCTACAAAGTTTCAATTGTAAAAAGTAAATAAAATCCAGATACCAGGGCTTCTGCTTGGGTTGCTAGGTGGCATGGCCAGCCTGCAGAACACCACAGGACCCTTGCCCAGGTCACCTCACACCCCAAGGGAACCCCCAACCTGATCCAGGACACCCTTCAGGGCAAACCAGTCAGCCCCACCCATGCACCAGGCCTGCAAGAGAAGTCAATTGAGAGGGACCAGGTATGCAGGGGAGGGCAGTTAGAGGCGATCAACCCTGTAGGGGAGGGCAGTTAGGGGTGGCCAGGCCCGCAGAGGAGGGAAGTTGGAGGCAAACAGGATGGCAGGGGAACAATTAGACACCAATCAGGCTGGCATGGGAATGGTTAGGGGGTGATCAGCTTGGCAGGCAGAAGTGGTTAGGGGCAATCAGGAAGGCAGGCCGGTGAGCAGTTTGGAGCCAGCAGTCCTGGATTGTGTGAGAGATGTGCGAGGGATGTGCAAGGAATGTGCGAGGAATGTGTGAGGGATTTCCGACACTGGGATCAGGTCTAAACAGGCAGTTTAACATCCCTCGAGGGGTCTCAGATTGGAGAGGGTGCAGGCTGGGCTGAGGGACACACCCCACCCCATGCACAAATTTTGTGCATGGGGCCTCCAGTCCTATATAACAAAAGCCTAATATGCTAGGTGTCCAGTAGTCTGGTAGGCTGTTCAACCAATGAAAGAGTAATATGCTAATGATATGCTTATGCTGCTCACCCTCTCGCTATGATGTGTACTGACCACTAGGGGGCTGATGCTCTGATCAATAAGTTAGCTTGCTGCTGGGGTCCAGCTGATCGGGACTGAGTGAGATAGATCACATATGTCCTGGAGCCCTCCCACAGTCCCTCTGTGGTTGGCCAACCTCCCACATTCCTCTCTGGCCCTGATTGTGCACTAGTGGGATCCCTCAGCCTGGCCTGTACCCTCTCACAATCAGGGACCCCTTGGGAGATGTCGGAGAGCTGGTTTCAGCCTGATCCCGCAGGCCAGGCCTAGGGATCCAACTGGTGCACAAATTCATGCATTGGGTCTCTAATGTTATCATACTTATAAGTAATTTTATTCATTTAGAAATTTAGCTAATTTCTAACCCTTTAAGCAAAATCCAAATTCACCACATTCTTCAAATTCCATGAGTACATGCATTGTTCAGCTCAGTTGATGAAAGAACAGCATAGAGATAAAAAAAATGTACACTTGCAGAGTAAATACAAGATGCTACTTATTAGTTTGTATAGTGTACAATGGAAGCGTTCCACAAGTGTTATGAATATATGTTTTAAATTTTTTAACTGAAATCCCTTTTTTACCTTTCAAATCAAAAGCTAATAATCACACTGGATTTTTTACTTATTTATCTTTTGGTCATCTGTCTTTTTGGTTTTGACTGCCATGAACCTTAAGGTCATTTGAGGCCTCATCTTTCTAATGAAAACATTAGAGTTTAAAGAGGCTTGATAATTACCCATTTCATGAAGAAAATTTTCAGAATTAGAATCCAGGTTTTCCAACTCATATCCCAGTGTTTTTTCACCCTCATTGCTCTATTCATTGATATTAATAGCTCTAATAAATCAATAGCTCCAACAAATTTTCCATGCACAATGTCTGCCTTGGCATGATATTCTGTTTATTTTCCCCTTTCTAAAATGATTTTAAGTAGCTTCTTTGAATACATAGTTGCAACAATTAAAGATAACTTTATTTATTTATTCTTTAATCAGCCAATGTTTGTTTGACATCAGTGATTACTACTCTTCTTTCAATTGCTAAATTTCTTTATCTTGGTGAGTAAAGGCTTAATAAATTGTATGGCAAAGAACATACACTTCAAACTATCCAGATATACTGAGCACCAGGCAACAGAACAAATTTAGAGACTGAAGAGTCGAGCACGGCAGTTTATTTCCGTTCTTTGAGAGGAAATGTAGATTAAGCAGGGTTGGCTTTTCATGACATTTGCTTAGTTCTTGAATTGACTGACAAGCCTATTAATGGATTCCCTGAACTTTATTAATGTAATTGGAAAACTGCTCACATGCCAATCAACTTCTAATAAGTAATTATGTTCATAAATATGTAAAATTATTAGCTTTTAATGTGTCCCAAGCACATACTTTCAACACAGTGACCATTTTTTTCTTCTAGAGGAACAAAACACTGGTAAAATATTCAATGAGTGTGTTTCGAATATGTATTCCCTGAAGTGGTACTTAAATATTCACTATCATCAAATGGCCAGCAAAAAAAAAAGACTGCCAGAGTAAGGCGTGTGACAGCTTTAAAATTGTGTATAGTATTAAACAATCTATGTAACATAAGGTTATAAAGGAATCTTATGGAAATCAAACAAGTTTCTAGGCAGGGCTTATATATCCATAGTCTGGTTTAAAAATCTCCACCTAACATGGAACAAGAAAGAATGAGAAAAAAAAAATGAAAGAGGGATATATTCACTATCTAAAATACATCAGTTAAGTCTACAATAAGCAAAAAGTCTGTATCTCAAGTCACTCAAATATATTATTGTCCAAGTTTACTTTTTCTTATGTAATAGGAATCTTTTGTAGCTAGAAACTCAAGCCCAAGGGCATTGAACTACACAAGAGAATCAGATTTGGCCTAGATATAGAAGAAATGTGTTTCTGACTTATAACCTCATGTCAGTTTTTGAACTCCTGCCCTGTGGAATCTCTGGATAATCTCTGAATAAAGGAGGACTTTGGTGAAAAGTACTATTTTCTCCTATGCTTTTAAATAAGGGGCTTCTCACAGTGAGCATGATCATAATAAGAAAAGGCATTGAGAAAATTCACTGATTTAATTTTTCCATTATACTTTCTTCCTTAAAGTTAACAGCTTAATTAATAAGTTTAATTTTTATCACAAAGTTAAAATATTTACTAACAACTGAAGCTGTATTTGAATTCAGGTTTGTATTTATATAAGGAAATAGATTAACAATATTTTCCCAATGTAAGCCATTTAAGTACATTAACATTTAGTGTTAATTATTGGAGGGGTTAACTCTGAGGTAGTACAAATACCTTGCTTACTAAGCATTCCTGTTAGGAATAAAACGTGTATTTACTGGTACCACATTCTCGAACAATTGTTACTAATTTCACTTAGAAATGCTGCAATGTCATATTGAGTTCCACAACATAATATTTCTATGCAACCAAACCATGATTAATCTAAAACGCACGAGGAAATAATGTAAAGGGCAAAAATATACATTTTCTATTCTGTTTGCATTATAATTTCTATTTTGAGAAGCATTTGTGTTTAGAATAAATATGCTCTTACATTGCAGTGTGCAAGAAAAATAACAGAATTTGATGATTCTGTTTATATTTAGAGATTGCAAGTTAGCTAGCATGATTTATGATCTACTGAAAGTACATCAAAGTAGAAAGCATTGTGTACAATATTTTTTCAATTACTCTACATTTAAATTAAGTATTTCTAGAAGGCTGCTTCTTTTCATTGAACGTTAATCAAAGTAAACAGAAGTTGGATTGAGACAGAGTGTTGAAAACCTGGGGAATTGCTTTTAAAGAGTTCTCCTTCATATTTTAAAAAGTTCTAATATTTAATCCCTCATGGGTTATCAGATATTTATTTTAATGTATTAATCATGGTTTTTCAAAGATTTATTGAAAGGGTAACTCAAAGAAAGATAGGAAGTGAATCATACACAAAAAATCACAATGTGATGTGAATTTATTTTTATCTTGGTTTGTTGGGATTCATATGACTATAATACCCATTACACTTAATGGAATCTAGGAACATAAATCCTGGAAGACAATGACCATATGTCTTTCAACATTGTTAGTTTCTTCTGAGTCATTTTGTTATCTAAAGATTGAACATTTCTGCCCTAGCTAGTTTTGCTCAGTGAATAAAGCATCGGCCTGCAAACAGAAAGGTCCCAGGTTCGATTCTGGTCAAGGGCACATGCCTGGGTTGTGGGCTCGATCCCCAATGGGGGACTTGTAGGAGGCAGCCTATGCATGATTCTCTCTTATTATGGATGTTTCTATCTCTCTCTCCCACTTCCTTCCTCTCTGAAATCAATAAAAATATATAAAAAAAATAAAGATTGAACATTTCTAAGCAGTATAGCAGTTATGGAAACGCATACCTTGCACAGTTAGATGCACCTGCATTGTTCTCGGCGTATGTTGAGTCTGAACAGAACACGTGTATGGGCCATCATCTGTCACATCCACGTTTTGTATCTGGAGGCTGTAGTCTCTTTTATTCAATGTTGAAATGGAAACTCGAGGATCCACGGACCACTTATCACCTCCCGCAAAAATAATACTTGACCGGTTCAGCCAGGCACCCTTTGAAGCTCCATCTTCCAAATAACACCTACAAATTACCCGAGACAGAACACTATTAATCAAGTGAAAATGAGAGACATTATCTTTGTTCTGACTGTATTTTCATATGCTGAATTACAGCACTTCATAAAATCCTAACATCAGACATAAACACAGGAAACATGAACACATGGATGGGTCTTCATTCCCAATACAAATGTGAAACAATATCTGCATACAGCTTTGTTTTATGTTGAGCTTGTGTGTGTGTGTGTGTGTGTGTGTGTGTGTGTTTTCATTGAAAGTCAGTCAAAATCAGTTTTTTTTCTTTTTGTATTACAAGTAAATTTAATAAAGCTAAATTAGTTCAATATAACAATGTTCAACATTAAAACAATGTTTGCATTCTGTTCTTTGAAATGGTAAGAAGGAGGAAATAGGTACGAGTCAGCCCAGCCTCTTTTAACCCAATCCAATTCTGAATATAATGTACCAGATGCAGAATGCAAAGCATAGAATAGTACCATATACATGTCTATTTTTAAAATCCCCTGCATTTTCCGAGTGGTAAGTTTGCACACTAAAACTATAAACTGCATTTCACTTGATAGTATTGCTGTTGTAATTAAATGTAGCAATTTTAGTAGCACATTCATTTATTCAATAAATATTTATGAAGCATCTACTGTTCATGGATTTAAAAAAAGCATAGTGTCCTTGCTCTTCTAAATGTTTAGTCTAGTAAGGACGACAACTAAGCAATGCAGTTAACACTGTACATTTAATAAAAATAATATTATTTCAAGCTAAGGTCCACGAGAGACAAAAGAGGGTTACTTGACTCAGTAAGAATATTGGAGTATAGAAAATGGCTTTCTAGGAGAGGAGAGGATGGGATGGGATGGGATGGGATGGGATGGGATGGGATGGGATGGGATAGGATAGGATAGGATAGGATAGGATAGGATAGGATAGGATAGGATAGGATAGGATAGGATGGGATAGGAAATGCCAGAGCTAAAGCAGTGAGAAGTGGAAGATATAGCCTTTTAGACAGAGGTGCTATACATGGGCAACACAGGGAAAGGTGAGAGAAATAAGACATTCCCAGGATGTACAAATAAGCATGAGCTATAAGGGAAGGGTGAGAGATGCAACTGGAATGGTAAACTGGAACCAGATGATGATGATGATAGTAAGCATGATGACAGTAGATTTGGAGGCCAAATTCAAAGCCATTTATTCAAAGTTGTATTCTGTAACAAGATTCAACTATACAGCTTTGAATCTAATAGAAGTCAGGCACATCAAGACTTAGAACAGAAGGCTCTGGTCATATATCAGTGATTTTGCTGAGGCCTGGAATTCTGTTTCATCTTGAAAACATTCTGATACAAATTAAAGACTGGTTCTCTTAAACGAGTACAAAGCACAGCTACAGAATGAAAATACACATACATCGAAATAGTTTGACAGCATTTCGACAGAACACCTTGGGGGATTGAACATGGTGTTTGAGATTGCTACAAAATTGCAAGCTGAATGCAGCAGGGGTAGGTTGCTGCCAACTGCATGAAACTAATCAGTGGGTGGAAAAAAAATAAGGAACAGGGTACATTGCAGAATCTCACTTGCAGTCAGCTTCACCATCTACGAATCCAAACTAGTGGAAGTCATAAAGGTCACTGTTCATTGGAAAGCTTTTCTTTATGTATGTAATGAAGAAAATAAAACCCACTTTAGTGGTATAATTAAACAATTATAGTGTATTTCCATTCTTTTAAATATGCAGAAAGAAGATAGAGGATACATATTTCCCATTTCACAAGATCATATTTGTACTTTTGGGTACAATACTAAAACACTATTACTAGGGTTGAGATAATCCCAATGTTTGTATTTACTACCTGGATTTGTGAAGTTTATTGTGTGACCTCTCCATTCATGGCCTTCACACATTATCTGATGCTCATAACAACCCTGCACTGTATGGATTGCTATGTCTAATTCATCACCAGAAAAATAACTGGAATGCTTGGGTTATATGACTTGCCCTGGCCACACCAGTAGTGAGTGGCAAAGTTGAATATATAATTGAGTCTAATAGTTCTATATCCAATGTCCTTTACACCATAATGCATGCAGATCAAAGACTTTTAAAATAGGTTTCAGAAATGGGAAGATGATTAGGATGTTGCAGATATTATTGCAAGTAATTTCTTATTTACTGAATATGACCAACTACTTAACCTGTCCTATTCTAAAGGAAGCAGAACATTAATTATTAATGGATATTTGACCATGAAAGTCTGATTTTGAACACTCTGCTCTGCATTTCCCTCTCCCTAGAGACAGAGCAGCTTTTCCTTTATGTGGTGGGTATTAGAGAACCATGGAGATTAACCAGCCTTAGACATGAGCTCTTTCATAGACCTGGTCTGGGTTGTAACTTCTAGTCTTAGCAAAAGCACTGTTCCTCTGTTCTGGCATGTCAGGGACCATCAGGAAGAATAGAAGTTATGTTCTGCTGTGAAGATGAAAAAATGAGCCCTTTATGTCCTCTGGGCTTAGGTAACTATATTTCATAATTGTTATTGGTCCCAACTCAAAGCTTGTAAAGACATACATTAGAAAAACCCTCAAACCAGACTCAGAAAAAAAGAAGAAAATAACAACAACCCCCCCCACATTTTTGTATTATTTCCTCAAATTACTGCATAATTATTATCAAATTATACTACTGAGTTAGAACTTAAATAATCCAAATGACCATTTATGGATTTTATAAATTGGAAACAGCAAGTCTTTCTATTTTATAAAAATCATAAGATGTTTATATCAAATTTATATATTTTAATGTCAACTATAATGTGATTATATAAAATTGGTGGCCTGGTGCACAAAAATTCATGCACAGGGGGTTGTCCCTCAGAGTGGCCTGCATCCTTTCCAATCTGGGACCCTTTTGAGGATGTCCGACTGCTGGTTTAGGCCCGATCTTTCAGAGATTGGGCCTAAACTGGCAGTCAGAAATCCCTCTTGCAATCTGGGACCTCTGCCTCCTAACTGCTCACCTGCCTGCCTGCTTGATCAACACTAATCACTCTGCCTGCTGGCCTGATCACCCCCAACTTCCCTCCCCTCCTGGCCTGATCACATTTAACCAACTCTGCCTCAGCCTCGCCACCATTGCTTTGTCTGGACAGATGTCTAGATGGTCTCTGGGAAGGTCTCCTGGTCTAATTAGCATGTTGCACTATTATTATTATAGTATAGATTATTAGTAAATATATTAAATAGGCCAAACAAATAAATCGGATTCCTTGAGAATAACAATCTATATCTTCTACCTCCACATTCACCCTATTTTTTCCCCTTTACAATGCAAAGGATTCTGTCTGACATGTGTGCTGTATTAAGAAAGAATTCTGGAGGGAAGGAAGGATGGTATCATTAACAGAGCCAGTCAACTTGAACTCTTAACTGTGGTGATAGACGATGCTGTGTACTTTTAGAGTTGGACATCGGCAAAGGTGAGAAGTTCTACCTTTTAGGATTAAGTAATCCCTGTGTGAGGAAGAGGTTGGTGAAGCAAAGACAGGCATGTAGTTAATGAGAGCATGATGAAGCCATAATTCTGGGGTAACAAACGCAGATCTTTTTATCCTCTCCAAGATTTCTAAATGGAACATTTTAAGAACCAGTGAGCTAAGGATCCCTGCAAAGTATAGACAATAAAATAATCATAAAATGTTTAATAATTAATACATCCTTTAACTGAGTATGGCATGGATTTTCTTGAAAGTGTTTTCTTTATTCCTTTTTTTTAAAATCTTCTCCATTATCCTTATAGAGAAATGAGTAAAGCAGTTCAAAAATATAATCTTCAGCATAAGCTGTGTTAGCATCATGACAAATACTTCAATTTTCAGTCAATCATCTGGATGTTTTGTATACATAGTTTCAAACATCTGGTTATTGGAAATGTGATAGCCATGTGGGAAAGATGGGTGAAGGGACTAGAAAAAAAGAGAAAGAACCCATTGACCAGGACAACAATGTAGTTATTATGGGGGAGGGAGTGAGAGAGGGTATAAGGAGAATAAATGGCGATGAAAAAAATAAAATTTAATTTAGTTTCATAATTTTTTAAAAAAAGAAAGAAAAATGGCTGGGATATTTATTTATTGATTGATTGATTTTATTGATTTTTTCGCAGAGAAGAAGAGGAATAAAGAGCTAGAAACATCGATGAGAGCAAAACACCAACCAGCTGCCTCCTCACGCCCCCCACTGGGGATGTGCCAGCAAACAATGTACATTCCCTTGACCAGAATTGAACCTGGGACCTTTCAGTCAGCAGGCTGATGCTATATCCACTGAAACAAACCGGTTTTGGCTTGGATATTTATTTTGTTTCACGATTGTTAATTATATCAACTTAACTTTGGGTTGATAAAATTAACACAAAGCTAATGCTCTTCTAATCGGAATTGCATTTAACTTCCAAACTCTCTTAAGGAGCTCCTTTATAAATGACTTTACCTCATAGTAGCAGGTCCCTATTTTAGGAGCAATAAGTCCTATTTGGAATGCTGCTAGTTGATCGAACTGATGTTGGAATATTCTAATTGACTCTGTCTGTAATATTATCTCTTGTGGTAATTAAATATAAAGTTGGACCTCAGAGAGTTTAGTAGAAATTAGCATATTTAGGTTATTTATTATTTTTTAAAGCTCTATTAGAGAAAAAGCCTATGGCTGCCGAGGAAAGATTTGTTTCACTTTCATAACTCTAATGCCCTATAACACTCTCCAAAAACATAATCCTTAGCACCATTACCAGTACTCTACACACCAGGATTTATTCAAGTTTATGAAAAGAAACCAGCTTTTCTCTAGACACAGTGATTAATGAAAGTTCCCATCAAAGGTACTAACTAATAAAAGAGGAAAATTTGTTTTATTAATTTCCCTTGGATTCAAAACTATGCCATGTGAAAACAATATTGCTATGAAGGAAGATAGTTACCTTCATGGCTATCTTTT